ACGCAACACTCATACACACATTTCCAGTTTACAGTTGATCGATCGAGCATGTTGCTGGTGTGGTATGAATTCGCCGCAGCAGAGTCTCGCCTTCGCCGCAGACCGCGACCAATTCGATGCGTGATACGAAATTTCTTTTTGTAACAATTTACATAAAATCTGATTGAAATTGAGAATTAATCAAAAGCAATCAAATGCGAAAAGCGGAAGAACATTTCAATACTATTCGACATGGACGGATTCTGTTGTGGTTTTCATATTTGGGCTGCATTTTGAGACATTTCGGGGAGACATTACTTCCGCGTTGCAGCAGGAACACGAACACGAACGGAGACCAGACTTTGGCAATTAATCTCCCGCTCTCTCTTTGGTTCAAGAACACTTATTAAGCGTGTTTTATTGCAAAATTCAAAAGGTTAATAAACAATGACGAGTGGTGCACATGAAAAACGCCATTTTATCGCACAAAGAAAGCGCCTGTGGCTGTTGGCTGGTTCCTGCTGCTAGTGGCAGATAAATTGTTAAATGAGACAACTCCCCCTGTGGCGGGGGAGGAGGAGTTGCCCCTGCTGCTCTTTATCTGTGGTAATTCCTAAAAAGGCCAAGCCAAGTGCATTAAACAATATTAAATGCGACAACATCGTTGCCCCTCACTGCGTTGTCTGCGCGTTGTTTTGAGTAATATGCAAATACACTTTAAATACGCAGGCGCATAAATTAAGGCAAGGAAATGCAGCAGCAATGGACATACACTCTCAGACGCCCCTCCAGGATCGGCGACACTCCCGCCTCGTCTCTCACCCACCCTCCTTCACTGCAACACGATAGCCTCGAAGCACGCCTCCGAAGGGGGTCAAACGCACAAAGAAATCGCTGAATCTGAATCTGATTTAATTTACAGTAAGCCGACTGAAGAGGATGACTCTCCCATCACACTTGTCCTCCCAGCCACAGGCTGACTGTCGGACTGTTCAGGAACAAGCGCAAATTTCACTTGCCTTTTATGGCCAAATGTTAATTTGTCTTTCGCTGCCATGACTGCTGCTGCTTGGCCATTAAATACACGACTGCCTACAAGCCATTGAAAGAAAGCGAGTCCAAGGAGTCCCCAACAAAAGCCGCGTGGGCAGGACACTCTGACTGGATTGGCACTGGCCACTGGCCACTGCCTCTGACACTGACACCCTGGAAATAGCCATGGATCAGAAATGACTTGGGAATACCCGTGGATCGGTAAGTGGACGCTGTCTGACTGCACATAAATTCATCTTTTCCAGGAAGCACTTTTCCTCATTCATAAGTTGGTACTTTCCACAATTTAATGGTAATTTTTTGTAGGTTTTTCGGAAGAAGAAAAGATGTAGAAATACTGAAAGAAAGTGAAGAAACAGCCAGAAAATCTCTGACATAAATAGAAAACCACCCAAGAAAGATCCCACAGGGGGATCTGCCGTATTATCCAAATAAATGGCCAATTTATGGCTGAAAGAGTGAAACTTCCCTGTGGTGGAAATCCTTTTGCAAATGAAAATTCTGACTAATCTTTAGCCTTCTAAAAGGTCAAACACCAACAAAACCATGGCAAAAACTTACGTGGGCTCCTTGGGTATGGGGATGGCGTTCTTTGCATCTAGCTCGTGCCTCCTACGCTTGGCCGCGGACCTGGTGTGATGTGTTTTGGTAATGCGGGGCCTATTTATAAAATTGCAAATAATAATAATTGAAATTTGCCCATGAAACATGCACACAAAACACAACACAACTCTCCCTAGAGAGAGAGAGAGAGAGAGAGAGTGTGAGAGATGGAATAGAACTTACGGCGATGGGGCTTCTGGCATGGGTGGCGAATGGTCTGCAGTGTCGAGTCGTCTCCTCTTGTCTCGTGTGCCGGCCGAGGAGCGATCCCTTGAGTGGTGGCGTCTCCGTGTTCTGGGCATCTTTAAAGAACGAAATGCGAGTCCGCATGAGTTACAATTGTCTATCTGAATGAAGTGTAAGGGAGAAAAGTGTTCGGCAGCTGCCTACTTCCACCTCTCCTCCATCGAATCGCCGTGCAAAGGTGAGTAGAGTGGGAAATACAGCTGGCACGCCATATACACCCGTTCACACTCACACTACATACTCCCGTGCACATACATACATATAAATTGCAATGCTGTTCGTGTGGGGAAATCAACTCGAAGAGCAGACACATTTTAGGGAGGAGGGGTGGGTGGTGCAAGCAATGCAAGCATTTTGGAGAAATCTAAAACTAAATGCAGGACTACCTTTCAACTCTGGCTATTGGTTTTAGCACGCGGAGATACTCTTAGAAAGGCTGGAAAGCAGCGCGAAATTGATTTTTGTTGTATTGTCTTTGACCCAGCAGCGCGTCTCTCCTCTCCACTCCAATTTACGCAGCTGCTTGTGGACGCGTGTGTTGGACAATTTTGTATGCCCACGGCCGGAATTCGCAAGTCTACCCTCGGAGGGTTGCTTTACTATTTCCTGCACCTCAATAGCCACCGATAACTAGGATTATTACAGTCCTTTCCACGCAAATTGTGTTTTTTTTCAATAATTCACGTCACTTGCTTATTAAAATTGACCACCAGTGTGACCGATTATCGATCAAATATACCGACAGAACCTCGGAAATATACCCTTGTATTTTCAAAATATACTGTAAATATACCGTAAATCTTAAATCATTTAACTAAATTTTGATGTTCTATTTAATATTACTCGCCAGTTAGGAGTTTCAGCGCTAAAACTATAATTTTAACCGATGTATCTCTTAATTCTCCACAAGATTGGCCAGTTCTTACGACCTCCTTTCTTTGTAATATGTCCAAAATAACTTTAAAACTAATAAAGTCTACCAACAAAAATTGCATAAAAGGTAAGTGGGAATTTAATGTTACGTATTTGACAATTTGTTGTGTCAACTCGAAGGAATAAATCCCTTGCTTATTAAATTCACCACGCCTGAGGCCGAGAGCTGGGGCATGATTGTTTAGCTATCGCAGCAGAGCTGCCAACTCGTTGAAAAAATGTGTGCGCAACAATATGTACATATATTTTGTTGTTTTTGTTCTGTACATAGTATAAAGCGGCATTTGTTTAAACGACTCGAATTGCAGTCCCTATTGCACGATTCATTTCAACCAAAGAAACAAAACATTTCATTTCCACTATTTCCCATACGAAGTGGCAACGCTGCAACGCGCGTGTTTGTTGCAAATCAGCCGTTCACACGATATTGTGTGTGTGTGTGGCTTGTTTTTGCCTTGGATATCGGCAGGTAGCGGCTCTTTTGGCTAGATATCATGAATGGTTAGGCTTAATTTGCTTCGATTTTCCGCTATCTTACCTCTTCCTCTTTCTGTGTCTGGTACTGCGTTGTACCTGCTGGCTTGGGAGGGGGCGCTGGCAGCGCTGGATATGTCAATTTGGGCGAATACAAGCGTTTCCACAATCCTGTCAAGAGTTGGGTCAGCGATTGCCAGGTTATATTTACTGGCTGTGCGATGCTCGAGTACATGGGTTGTTCCTTTGAGTGAATGCAGCACAGGTGTTGATAGCAGTAGTCCGTCTGCCTCGGTATTTCTCTGTCCTCTGGTTTGTTGAGTTTTTTGGCGCACTTTTGTGCCTGTCTATTCCAGCCGACACGGATAACATATATTGCACATTGACTTCTCACTGACGGCACTCGCAAGGAATGCTTTGCTCTGCATGTTGTGTGTTTATTTGAATAACTCTAATTGATACGCGAGACAAATTGAATTCTTAGGAAAACCGAAGCGCGTCGGCTGCTGATTGTTGTTCAGGGATGGGTTTGCTATATTTATCTTTAAATATATCGATAGGCAGAGTTGGGTTAGGAAAATATCGGTACTTTTGTGCGATAAGCGAGAAGATATTGGCGCTTAAAATATTTTGAAAGGTATATCAATCCAATACAAAGAGGCATGTAGATTCTTCAAGCGGATTCAATTATTAGTTCAGTGTTAAAAGTATTTGCGAGCTTGTAGTATCAAATATAACATCAAACTCGAGGAATATGATTTAAGACTACGGTATATTTACGGTATATTTTTTAAAATGAGGTGTGTTTTTTAGGGACTGTCGGTATATTTTATCGATAATTCCGCGGTCACACTGCTGTAAATGCAACCCTGCACCGCCATCTTTCTTTTTCGATCCGCACACACCGAGTGACTAGGTGAGGGAATAATTTGTTGCTAAATAATATGAAAAAAATGGATATTCATTAACAAATTTGCTGAAAATGTGTAACCGAGTGGGGACTGAATGTGCGGAGCATGAAATGTCAAAGCCTCAATGCATGAAAACTGTTCAAACGAGTGATTGAATCGGCACACGTGTTTCGCTTTGCTACGCCTGTGCCACAATGGAAACTAATGTGTCTCTTTATCGTCGTTCGCTTGCAGATCGCGTCAAGATGCAGCTTTTCGTACGTGGATTTGAAACCATCGAGGCTTTGGAGGTGTCCCAGGATGCCACCATCGCTGGAGTCAAGGTGAGCTACAACAACAACAGCGACGGCAGTAGAAGCGCAACCCTAACCTAATTGTTGTTTTTTTTTTGTCGGAATGCAGAACCAGCTCGCCCAGCTGCATGGCTTCAACGCCGAGGAGGTGAGCCTCAACTGCGAGGGCACCACCCTGGCCAACGAGACGCCCGTGACCGCTCTGAGCTCCTTCGAGCTGGACATCAACATTCCGATGCTTGGTGGTAAGGTGCACGGCTCTCTGGCTCGTGCCGGTAAGGTCAAGGGACAGACGCCCAAGGTGGAGAAGCAGGAGAAGAAGAAGAAGAAGACCGGCCGCGCCAAGCGCAGGATCCAGTACAATCGCCGCTTCGTGAACTTTGTCCAAGGCTTCGGCCGTCGTCGTGGCCCCAACGCCAACTCCAGCCAGTGAACGTAAAGTGTGAACCGTGTCCTGGGATGATGAACAAGTCGCTATCTTTTAATGCATAAAGTTGATGTTCATAAAGTAATTTTCAAAAATTAAACAAACTATTTTACAAATTTCAAGTTGTAAGCCCAAAAACCCGACGCGACTCCCCGTCCGTGTAATGTTTCTCAATTGGTGAAAACGGTCGGCTTGCGGCTGTCGCTTTGGACGTACAATCGATAGAACCAGAACTCGATGCAGCCTACGAACACTGCCACAATGAAGCCCAGCAGCAGCACCAGAAAGCATCCCTGCATGTCGTCCATGTTCACTTTGTGATTTGTGATCTGCCTGAGGATGCTCTTGCCATTACACTTGTCCGCGCTGGGCAGATTGGTCCTGTGCCAGCGCTCGATGAAGCCCATGCGAAACATGCGATCAATGTGCTGATTGATCAAGTGCAAGTAGGCGCTCTGCGAGGGCATAATCAGGGCGATCTGCTCGTCCACAAAGCTCTCCTTGCCGAGGGCAAAGCGACACTCCTTGTCGCGCTCAAAGTGCTGCTGCACAACCAGCTGCAGATTGATGCGCCAATCGATGTTGATGCGCTCGCCACGCTTCACCGCCTCAATGTCCTCGCCCTGGCCATTGTTGTAGATAATCGCACGGGCCAAATAGTGTTTGAAGTCCTCGCGCGTTGTCCTTTGCACGTACTTCTCGAAAAAGGTTCCATTTCGCAGGCCATACTGTGAGATTTCTTCGTGGCGCTGCACCTGATTCAGATAGTCAACGCCCGGCTGGAACTTGGGAAACGTGAGGAAGGCCACCAGGTTGCCGCAGTACGTGGTGACCAGCACAATCACAACGATCCACCAAAAGCCCACCACCAGTCGCCCGCTGTCAGCTCTTGGCAGGTACATGCCACCTGCCATGGACAGATGGGGACATTCAATTAGAGATTGGGTTGGCTGCCATTTGTATTGGTTTCACTCACCCTGTTGCAGCAGCGCGCCAAAGATGTACCAGAAGCAGCTCTTGACCGATGATAGACCATGGATTTGGAGCTCTTGCAGCGGCGCAAAGCGATTGATGACATACAGCATGGGTGCCGTCACCAAGATGATGCCCACCAGGCAGCCCCACGTCTCTGTGGTGAATGGAGCCGTAAACAGATAGATGCGCGACACCTCATCCGGCTGGCGAGTGATGAAGGAGTACTTCTGGACACTCACTGGCTGGGTGTAGTTGAAGGGCTTCTTATCGGCATCCTCAACGGTGGCGGCCACTGCGGCCATAAAGAACTGATTGCCCTGAATCATCTCCACCACGCGATAGGGTAGGCCAAAGGTCATTGAACCCAATAGCTCGTCCTTTAAGAGAAAGAAAGCCATGGAGTCAGGGAAGCGCTGGGCTGGGAGTCTTCCACTTACGCTCTCGTTCGTGTTTTGACTGCTGGCATACTCATCCTCATAGGACTTCGCCTCGTGCAGGTAATAGCTAAAGTTCAGGGCCCGACTCAGCTCCTTGAGTATCTCCAAGGCAATGCCTTTGTGTTCGACAATGACGCCCTGACTGTTCTTGGTTAGTATTTGCCAGGGCGGGTTCTACGATACATTCAAAACAATATTTAGAGAATTAAAACCCTGACTCAGGGCTCTCACATGCAGCGTCACAATGTCCATGGTGATGTTTCGAAAGTGCTGCGCGATGTGTGGGAATGTTAGCTCCTGGCAAACGAATCCCAGCAGTGGGCTCCAGTAGCCAAAATTGACAAACTCAAAGTTCTGGTTCCTGGCATCCCTCGTGGGTGCTGAGAGAAGAGTTCATACTGATGTAAGGGAGGGGGGTAAACGCCTTGGAGCGGACTTACCCGTGCGAAATTGTCGATTCTCCTGACTCTTGCCCCAGGTGATGGCTGTCTCAAATCTCCAGCGCGCACAGCTGGCACACTTGCTGTTGCTTTTGAGGTAATCCTAACGAGCAATCGGTTTGCATTTTGCATGTTAATCCAAGAACAAATCTTTACTCTTACCTTCATGTATTCCAGAATCTCATTCTGCCGCTCCTGCTTGGTGAAACGTATGGACTCCCACTCCTCATCGGAGATCTCACCGTATAGGGATTGCTCCTCGACGGTCATCTGTGAAATGGCCGTCACCAGAGCCAGACTTACCTCTGCGATCGTACAGTTGAGCGTGTCCATGCAGTCCGTTTTCGTTTCATTCAGGGCAAAGGCTATGTTGGCACCCTCCGCCAGATTGATGGTCACCGTGCTGGCATCAAAGCCCTGACGCATCTTCTCCAGCACAAAGAACATCCACTGGTTGCCCACATGGAACATGTTCATTGTCTCACCAATCTCGATGATGTCCTCGTAGTTTTTGGACACAACGAGGAACTGCTGGTGCTTTTGCTCGTGATTGATGGGCGCAAAGTGGGACAAGGCATGACGCAGTGCCGCGCGTTTCTTCTGTCCCCGCAGCGAGTCATCAATCTTGTAGAGAATCAATGATATGGGCGCAATGTGATTGGTGGTGCTCTCGTGCGCTATGGACTTGATTAGCTCTGAGTTGTCATCCACTGGAAGGCAGAGGGGATTTAATTGCTGGAGTACTTGGAGTGATGGGTACCCACATATGGTTTGATCTACCAGCACCACTGCCGTCTTCCAGTTGAGTATCTGTTGCACCTTGGCATCGAGTACGATCTGTGGCAGCTCATCGCCATGCTCCACCAGTGGCACCTGTGAAACAAAGGCAATGGGATACATACAGAAACAAACTAGATTTGGCTCACCATCAAAGCTTTATTGAGAGGCAACCTTGGACAATCGGAGTCTGTGATGGCAATCAGCAGCACTGAAGTCTCCTGTGTGGTTCTGTAGAAGTTCCAGGTGTTTGCACAGTCCGTCACCGTAATGGCAGCGAGGAAATCTGCCCAAAAAGTTACTTAGTAATGCTCCACGGAACAGCCAAGCTCTCACCCTTTTTTAGACGCACTGCACTCCAGCGAAAGTAACGCACATTGAGGCCGCCGTTCCGCAGGTTCTCTCTGACAATGTCGCTTAGAATCTTCTCGAAATGTGCCATAATATTTTGGCCATGCCTGGCCATGTACTCATGATCCACCACAACAGCTAAACACAGTCTGATTGCTAAAGATTTGGCTTTATTTTATCTGAACTCACCCAGCGATCCATTGGCGCTTAGAAATGAGGAAAAGTCGTTGGCCGCCACAGGCACTGATAGGATGTAGAGCTGAAATCCGAAGAGGAGCAGCAGACAAGCCGATGACCTCATGCCGCCAGGATAACTGCAAGGCAACTGCGAGCGGCCAGGCAGCTCAGTCAACGAGGTAACCTCTTTCTGATAACACAAATTTCAATTAAAAACACTCCTGCGAGTGGACTGCATGCAGCAAGCAGTGGGGCAAGCAGTGGGGCAAGCAGGGAGTCAAGCAGTGTGGCGGACAGCGTGTGTGCAGGGCCCATGAAAAATTAATTTGCTAGAGAAACCGAACTGGAGTCGGCTGAAGGCATTGATTGACGGTTTGCGGTTAGGCGTCGGACAAGCCACATGAGCTGCCCAAGCGTTCAATTGGTCGCAGGTGTTCATGGGATCGTATCGTATCGTATAAATAGATATTTGGGGTTGATATTTTTGTTAACTTGCTTTATTTAATTATAAGTAATTTTATGAAATTGTTTTTGTCAGAATTGCCTGTATGCGCGATAATTACATTTTACATTCTTACAATGTGTCTGAGGTTTAGGGGCAGGAAACTACATAGAAGGGGTATAGACGGGGGTGTTGTAAATTTCTTAGCTAAAAGTTACAGTTTACTTAGGTTAGTTCTACTCTCTAAGGTCCGTTGAAAATATCGGAATTATTTTTAACTTTTTGGTTGGTGTAAATTGTGTCCAGATATACTTAGGGTTACGCTGATCTTGTCGTCTGGATTATGGGTTTGTATATATGTATCTTTGCTCAAGTGTATGTGTGTGTGTGTGTGTGTATAATTTAGCTACAATTACGTCTATAGGTCAATTCCCAAAAATGCTTTCAAATATAAATGCAATACGATTCGATTTTCGGTTTCGATTTCTTGTAGGTTTTGTTGTTGTTGCTGTCTGCGTTGTGGTTCCTTTAGTGTTTACTTGCTGTATATGTTTATTACGAGTATTATACGAAAGTGGGAGTATAAGTTGAACCTGTATAAATATATATATATAAATACGAATTAATATACATAGATTGTAGCTTTAGTGTGTATATATTTTCGGTTTCGGTTTTGATTTTATTTCTTTGATTTCGTGTCTGTCGCCTGAACCTTTTTTCTGAACGTAGTTTGGTGGCTGCTTCTCCCTCTCCTTTGCACACTCACATACAGACAGACACTCACATGTGTATAGGTAATCCCAAAAATATTGAATATCGAATATCTAAGTACTACGACTGCGTGGGATGGCGACAAAATTTTGGATCTATTTTATGTCGCTTTTACTTGCATTTTTGATTGAAGTTCCACTACCAGTACCACCTCATATTTGATCTTACTCCAACTTTAAACCCATTCATCCCGGGTTTATGACTTTTCTCATTCGTTGAGTATTGCACTGAGACGCTCCTCGACGGCGACCTTGCGCGACTTCCAGACAAACTCACAGACAGCTATGACACAGGCCACGCCCATGCCGCCCATTAGCACCACAAAGACACCGCCCACATTGGCCAGACCCAGTTCGTTGGCCGCCGATGATGACTTGGAGGTTTCCACGCGGCACTTGCCACCGCCGCGTTTCTCCTTCCACCATTTGGTTTTCAGTATGTGCAACTTTCCCTCCTCCTGCAGCTTCAATATGACACTGTTGATGGCAGTGCGATAAGGTGAATCTGAAGAGAAGGATAATCTATGAAAATTACACAAGATGGATCTGTATTTAATGGCTTACTTGGTGGTGTGGCAATGCCATAGCTTTTGGTGTCCAACATGCCGCCGACTTGCGTCAGTTCGCAGTTGCGTTCGGTCACATACTCAATGGAGGTGGACTCCATTAGGAAAGCATAGGAACCTGGCAAAATATGCAGTATAAAAAGGAGAAATTTAACTGAAATTTAAGTTTATTTGCTCTTATTTGGACGCACCTTTGCCCTTGGCCACGCGCTCGACGCCTTCGCCATTGCTGGCTGTAAATACGGAGGGACGAGCCGATTCCATGAACGACCACATGCGCTGATATGTGGAGATTTTAGAGTCCTGTCAAGAGCAAACAATGAAAATATACACTCGTATTTGAGAAAACATTCAGCAGTTACCCTGAAGAATGCCGCGGTGCTGCCGCCCTTGAGTGCTCCATATTTGATTCTCGTTTGTTTGGCCAAATCCTCGGCACTCTCGATGGGCGAGTCCATGCGTTCGACAGTCAGAAAGGCAGCCAGATTGGCGGTGTACGAGGAGATCATAATCAGTGTGAAGAACCACCAAATGCCAGCCACCATGCGAGTGGATAAAGCTCTAAAGAAGATTTAAATGAAATATTTTAAACGAAGAAAATGTGTGTGGTTGATTCCTACTTGGGCAGAAAATCGCAGCCTTGTTGCATCAGCGATCCAATGGCAAACCACATGCAGTTGAGCAGCGTGAACTGACTCTCCACCTTTTCGCCATGAGCATCCGTGTACGCGGGCCACTCATAGGGTGTGAATCTACAGAGAACAACAATGTCTTAAGCCAATAAAAATATATTTCAGAATCGCAACCCACTTGGCCAGAATAAAGAGCAGCACGGAGACGCCCAAGTAGGCTGTTGCCATGTAGATCCAAACATCCAGCGATAGGGGCGACAGGAAGGAGAACAAATTGGGCGGCTGCTTAATGGGTTTGCGATAGAGGATGGATACGCCCAGGTTCATGAAGGGTGTGGTAAAGTCCACAGCCTGTTCCCGCTCAAATGTGATGGTTAGATCCGCTATGGCCAGATCAGCACGCTGCTCCAGCAGGTCACGTATCATGCCATTCCATTCGCTGCAAGAAGGATTCATTTAAGGATAAAGGATACTCTTTTGTGTAGCTGCTATGCTTACCCAGTTAATTTATTTAAGCTTCCATAGCTGCCATCGGGCACCAGCTGGATTTTATAATTGAAACCTAGAGACTTGGAGATCTCATGGATGAGATCCACAGCATAGCCCTCGAACTGATCGTTGCCACTAAGCGGCACCGCTGACTCCTTGCGCATGCAATAGGGATTGCTCTGCAGAGAGAAAAATAGGCAAAACCAATTGAAAAACGATCCCGAAAGACTCGTGCTACATCCCTACCAATATGGTGGTCACCACCAGAGTTTTATTCTTCAAATTGGCTTCTATTTCCTGCTGCTTTTGACTGAAAGTGCGCGTAAAGTTGATGCCATCGGGCAGAGTGGAGTTCCAGGTGCCGATCTTCCTTATGCCCGCTGGTGTCAGCTCCACAATGTCCAGCATAAAGTCGGTGCGGAAACCCTGATGATCGAACTTGATCACATTCGTGAGGCCCTTCATCTCGACAATCTTCATGTAGTTGATCAGACTGAAGCCGTGCTGCCAGGTGCTCTGCCCGTCGCAGCTGATCGGATGAATGTCGATCTGCTGCGAGGTGTCCAGATCATGCAGCGCCTTGGCAAACAGATGCACAGCATCGTACATCAGTGCCGTCTCCGAGCGCACTGTGGTCAGATTGGCCGAACGCAGCAGTCCCTTCTCGTCGATGCTCCACTGGCGCACCACATCCGAGACGATCTTGTCGTTGATCAGCCGAAAGCCGGTAATGTTCGTGCCACCATAGCGAAACTCATCCAGGTTGACGGTGTGCAGGTCCAGGGACGTGACCAAATAGCTATGATAGTCGCTCATCATTCCAATCTGCTGTGCCTGCTTGAGTACCTCGTGAATGCGCTCCGTGGAACAATCCAGGACAATGTGGGCCTCAGCTGAGTTCTTGATTTGCTTCAGCAGGGGACTGTTTGTGGTTGGTGGTCGGTGGTTGTGACAATTGTGGGGCATGTAAATATTTCAAGTATATTTGTTTCTTACCGGTAATCCCCGCTGTCGCTTAGCTGGCGCACTGTGATGGGAAACGGTGTCATGCCGTGCGCCTTGAGCAGCTCCTGCAGTCGCACGATGCCGTCATTGTTCTCATAGATTATGGTGAACGTCTTCCAGCCCCAATGCCGTACAATATCCACATAAGCCTTAATTCAAACACACACACACACACACACACAGACAGAAGTATGTAGAGAAAGTGGAGGTGGAAGCTGCTGCAAATTCATACCTTTGAGAGCGTATTTGGATGCGGATAAAGGTTCACCAGGCAACTCTCACGCCGCAGTCGGTAGTCCCAGCGATTCTCCAAATGTGGTATCTAGAATGAGTGGATGGGATGTGTCTCTTGTATCAAACGGCTTTCCATTCCTACTATTGCCATTATCCTAGTTTTGTATGCAATTGCATTCCATCTGCTTCACATTCACATTCCACAGTTGCAAATACACATTCAGACTCATACTTACTTCCATGTTGTCGCAAATACTCTGTACATGGCTGGCGGTATGCGAGGATTGTGGTCCGAATATGGCAGCGACACCAATGTTCAATAAACCGCAAACTGAAAGACAAACAAAAGAGTGCACTTGGTCTATATCGAAGTAGGAGTAGGTTTAGAAAATATTGAGACAGTTGTGAGTAGTTGGTTGAACTTCGAAACATCATTATCATCGCCCTAGAACTCCAATTGACAATCAAACCAAACCGCATAAGCTCCTACATCGGATGGCAAGGAACACATGTTCTTCCGCTTGCAGCACAAAAAAGTTTTGCAGTTCCCTGCCTTGTGGCAAATTGAGTGAAACACAAATCCCCCAAAGGGCTTAAAAGTCACAAAAATTGATTTTCAAGTAATATGCTTGGTTCCGTTTCCATTCTCATTCTCATTCTCATTCTCATTTTCATTCTCATTCGTTTGCCATTTCCCAATCCCCAATCCAATTCCATGCATCTGTATTGTGTGGATGCGGGCGGCAGATAATCTGAAGCTTTGAGGTTGACTCTGGCTGCCAAAGAAACAAAAAAAAAGGAACAAAAAACTTACAAAAGAGCCCCACAAGTAGCAGCCGCCGCACAGTAATGTGGCTTGGGGGCTAGGGTAATGTTCAGTTAGCCTCGTTCGCATATTTAAAATGCACTTGAGTATGACATAATTTCATTTTGCCTTTTTGGCGTTTCCTTTCAACTGCCAGCTAAAATCAAGCCTCACATCCACATTGACATGACAACCCTTGCCGCCTGTCTGTCAGCATCCTTTGCCTCATCAAACCCACTAAGAACGTGTAAGTGCA